ACGTACGCAATTTTAGCGCACGCTAGCGCTAAATTTAGCGCTTGTGTTAGCGCACGCGACGCGAGAGAGTTTTAGAGTAGCGTTTCTCCGCCGCGACGCAAAAGCCCAAGCATCTCGCGCTTGCGACGCCACCAAGATTTTTTATTCTACACATGGAATGCTGTAACTTTAGAAAAAAAATAACGAGTTTTTTGGTCCAGAGTAGCATTTTAATTTGTTTAAACATGAGAACGCGACGTGAGCGGTTGAGCGGTCGTGTCCGCTTGCGTCGCCTCGGCGAGAGAGGTCTCGTGTACTGACCTTCGCACATCATACCTTCGCCGTGAAACTTTCGCGCGTCGCAAGCATCAAGTTGTCGGTAATCGCTGCCAAACCGAGTACAATGTCGTCCCGTATTGAAAATTGCAGTCGCGAGGATACCGCCGACGTCGCACTCACGACGCCGCCAAAGCAGCCGCCGACATAATCCTAGAAGCCGCCATGTTTTTTTAACTGTGCTCGTCTTGGATTTAGCCAACTTCTCATCACGAATCCTCCTAGGAGAAGCGCAAAGACGCTTTGCGTACGCACGCTATTTCCGAGAAATAGCACACGCTAAAATTGCGCACGCAAAGCGCAAAACCTGGTTTGCGTTCGGAGCATGCGCAGTGGCGACGACGCTATTCTTTGCGTACGCAAAGCTTTAGCGTGCGCTATTCTAAAACTCCCTAATGACGGCGTAATACTCGCAGAGAAAGTCCATTCCGAGAATAACGTCCCCTGAACAGTCTTGCAAAACAACGAACTTGACAGGGCACGTCTCACCATAGATCTCGACGCGAGGAGTGCATCTTCCGACTGGTGTGATGAGGTGCCCACCAGCGGTTCGTATTTGGGGGCCTTCCCACGGCGTTGTCTTTTCGCAGGCGGCGAGAGCCTCCCACTCAAGACTGAGTAGTCTGCTCCGGTGTCCACGAGTGCCGATGCGTCGTGGCCGTCGATAATAGGGAGTTTTAGTAGACCATGTTTCCCCCTCCGCTAATTCTCCGCTATGAAGAAACCGCCACTGCGCCTGCGCGCCGATGGCCTTGGCTGTAGAGTTACGAATAGCGGATGGGCTTAGCGGAGGGGGAAACACGGTCTACTAAAACTCGCTAATAACGTTTAGGTTGTTCGACACCGATGCAGGCGCGTCGTTGTGATGCGTAGCGTCGGGAGAGTGGGAGCGCTCTGTTGTTCTTGGAGGCTCTTTATATACTTCGGTCGTCTTCGGCAACGCCACCTCCAGGCGTTGCCGCACTTAGTTTTCCCGGCGACGCAGGGGAGAGAGGCTCTCTCGGCGAAGTCGGGGAGCTAGAGACGCTGAACTTCGCGGCGATGGTGAGCGGGACTCACGGCGGAGAGACGGCGCTGAGGATGGCGAACTTCGGAGGTATACTCCTTGATGTCGCGAGGGCGTTCGTCATACCTTGGCGTGGGTCGTTTGGGTGGAACCCGCGCAGCCCCAGTTGTCGGTAGGGGCATCCACGGTAAATGTGGCCGGCTTCGCCGCAGTGATAGCAAAACGGGTGTCGATCGGCCGTCCTCTACACGTCGGTCTTTCGCGGCGCAGCTTGTTCTGGGCGGACGTGCGCCCGATGCAGTGTTGTACGGAACGGCGTTCCAAGGAACGGCGTTCCTGGAACGCGTTCCTTTTAGGAGGAACGAAGGAACGCCGTCGTTCCATTTAGCATCGCTGGAACTGGAACGGGAACGCGTTACATTTTTACTGGAACGGAAAGAAGGAACGGGCGTTCCTTTTTTTTTTTTCGTCCAGTGGGGTTATTTTAATTTGATTTCTAAGAAGCAAATTCTGAAAGTATAAAAACAATATTTTTACGAAGAGCAGGATCTCGTTAACTTTTTGCTTGGTTATCTTCGGGTACGTCTTGTGTGGTCCCCGCTTGGTAAAAGTTGGGTGCAGGAGAGCTAGGGGATATCGATTCTATTTTCAGTGCCCGCGAGACTGCGCTACAAAAAGCAAAACTTTTAGTCGAAGGAAAAGACACAGAAAGAGGGACGTTTCAAACTCAGCTAATTTCTTTGCTTCCACGAATCCTCACACACCCAGAAATCTAAGGCCGACTACTGCTATCACTGAACTTCCACAAAGAGAACAACAGATACATCAAAAGTACAAATAACCAGGCATCGAACATACCCCCGTATCCCGAGCAGTGGGCACTTAAAAGTTACACAAAAATTTACCTTTATTAATTCTCTGCCTGTCCCATCCTTCAAACTGAACAACGAATCCAGCCTTCATGAAAAGGACTTGTAGTTTTCAATACTGACCTTCCAAAAGCCCTACCCTCTTCATCACTCGCTCGTCTTGCGGACAACATTGAGGATCAACGGTTGTTAAGTTCGAACAAGGGACTTTGTTATATTGAAACGTGTCAGGTTGTTGCAAAACGCTCGTGCAATGTATAGGGTGACAGTAAATTTGGCTTGTCTGAGTACCCCACCACAAACATAAATATGGGTAAAAGCTTAGATTTTTAAAGGTGTATATCAACAAATCAAACCCTGCTTCCGCCTGTTTTCTTCTCCTGGTGCTCTTCCATCACGGCCTTCAAATTCTTATGTTTACATTTGACGGAATAGATTAAAAAATAAAAAATAAAATATTTTCTAGATATAACTAAGTATGGTAATCAGCAAAGTACAAATGTAACGTATATGTAACGATACGTTCCGTTTTTTTAACTGTAACGGGAGCGAGTTCCTTCTTGACGTATGGAACTTGTAACGGGAACGCGTTCCAAAAATCAGGAGGAACGAGGAACGAGCTTCCGTTCCTATTTTTGAGGAACGTGTACAACACTGGCCCGATGTTCCTGGCGTCGGGAATACTGCGGCGCTGGAGGCTCTCGTCGGGGTGGCGCGGTATACTGGTGAGCTGGAGGCGGTAATCATTAGGTAGCTGCGGCGTAACTCAGCGTCGGCGGTTCGGGAGTGGCGCCGACGAGAACTTCTGGCTACAGCGCCTGATGAACTTCTTCCCGGACAATCTCGGCAATTGAGGGCGAAGCTGGGCTTGCGTCGGCAGGTAGAAGCTCCTGAATTTTCTCCCGCACGACGTCCCGGATGATCTCGCGAAGATCCGGGCTGTTGCAGCTAGAAGGCGAGAGTGCAGCGACGCCGAAAGTCGCTGGTCTAGTGGGAGGTCCGGGATTGAAGGGCACGTTTGATGTTCGTCGCCTCGGTGACGAAACCTTCGACTGTTGTCGGAGGGCTGCGGACAAGTACGCCGAAGATGTTTTCCCTCACGCCCCGCGTGAGGACACACAGTATTTTCTCTTCGGTGACTTGAGGGTCTGCACGGGTATTCAGCCGCAGAACATCTTCCACGAAGCTCCTGACGCTTTCGTTGGGTGCTTGAAACCTCGACTGTAGAAGATTTTCGGCCCGCTGCCTACGATGCTGATTCATGAATGTCCGCTTCAGCTCGGTGACGCAGGTGTCCCACGACGTCAGCGAATCCTCATGGTTCTCGAACCAGTTTCTTGCAGTTTTCTCCAAGGAGAAAAAGAGATTTTGTAAGCGCTCTTCCGTAGTCCAACCGCTATGACGGGCTAGGCGTTCATAATGTTGAAGCCAGTCCTCCACATCCTCATGGGCCTCACCATGGAATGGCGTCGGATTGCGTGGGGCGACAGGCATGAAGACGACAGATGGAGCAGTCAAGGTCTGCGGCGACTGGTTGTTCATCGTCGGCCTGTTTGACTGCTTGGTCCTGGGTGGCAAAAGTCCAAATTCCGGGTGTAGGCCTTGAATACGGCGACTTAATCGGGTCTCGGTAGTGTCTTCGTCGAGTCGTGGTGAACTAGCTGTCGGACTTGCACTGCGGGCCCTCGGAGGGGTACGCAGCACATCACTGTGCTGCCCCCTCTCTTTACGCTACAAAGTCAATCTCGAAACTTTTTTATCTCACCTCGTAGAGTCGCGTGACTCTTAACGCTCCCTCACTATGTCTACTTTCCTGCAGATGTATGTGTGAATGGAAATGCCCTATTTTCAAGTGGACTGGTGCTCGCGCTAGTCCCTTGGCTCTAGTGCGCAAACAAACATTGTTGGTGTAAATGCTTGTACTCTGTACTCCCCACAGCCTTTTAGAGATAAAACCAGTATCACCTTGACGAACATAGAGGAGACGTTTCCCATACTACCCGCCATCGCTCATATATCCTTAGGCGTGGGCTTCCGCAGCACTTTTTACAAAGGGGGTAGCCGCCTTTCCTGTGAGAGAAAAGAAGGGGGTATGCGTTTTTATTTACATTTTTTTTAGACGGAAGTAACTCGGGATGGTGTTATTCTGCATTCATTGACGTAAATAACAGGTGACGTCAGACAACCAACTTCGTCAATGTGCTTGTTACACATACCATCGAGCTTTTCGTTCACATTTGATAACCCTAGTTGTGCCGTCTCGAGTAGGAACCATAAACCTAGGTCATACTGCACGTACGTCGTACTACAGACACGGTGTACAGAAATGATGAAATAAAAATCTGCGGACAGGGTTAGCACACTATTTATTGCGGGGGGTTAGGGCACTATTTATTCTTTGCCCCCGCCCCCCCCCCCCCCCCCCCCCCCCCCCCCCCACTCTCTCCACTCGATGCAACATTGGTCGCGCACGCTAAACCAACAGCTGCGCTGCGTCGCTGACGCTCTCTCCCGTGGCCTAGCTACGGTGTGACCAACACCACCACAAGCAAGCAAGGGCCGTGCAGGGTTCCCACTGAGAGCCTATCGCTTTAAGGAATCCTTTTTCTAACATTAGGCAGTTCTGGTAGATCCTTTCGATGACTACGATAACGACACCCGATACTCCGGAGCTTTTGCGCTCGCATCTAATGGTTATCGGGCATCGTTATCGGAGGTTATCGGAGCAATAAGCAAGCACGTTTCTGCGAAATGCCCGACAGGCCGATACTGAAAGCATTTCTAGGCGCTCACTGCTCGGGCGTTTGTAGGTACTTACTGCGGCATCATTAGCGCCGTCGTGTTCGAGGACGAGATTGCTTTCTGCGGCTTCAACCACGTCAAGCCAGGTACGACAGAGGGCATTCGTCGCATGCTGTGGGACGCGGTGCTCGCCATAAATGCGGGCAGAAACGTATTCACGCTGGTCCCCGCCGAACGAGTCAACTCCTACCACCGACACCTTGGCTTCCACACGTCGAGCCGAGGGCTCGTGTTGCACGGCAAGCTGCCAGAAACGACGGATATCAGCCACTTCGGGAAAACTGACACCGTGGGGACCAAGGTAAGGTGCTAGTAGGTGGCGCATGCCGCCGCCCAATTTCAAGGGTTCAATTGTGTTAGTCTAGCCATTTAGTCTTCGAAGCTGCAAGAACCCCAAAAACTCGTTTCACCTTAGTTAGAAGGGAGGTGCAACATCCTTGTACTTTCCGCGAATACCACTTAGAATGAATTACTGGCGTTTGTTACCTAAGAAACAAGGCTTACTTTTTGCTTTCCACGCAATAATAGTCGCAGAATAAAAACAGGTTGGCAAAGCACAGGACACACGCCAAGTCCCAGACATTGCTATACACCTTGCAAGTGGGCGCATTTCGGTATTCTGCGCATGGGAAAGGAGGTGTGAAGGTGGGAGTCGAGGTTATAGACCTTTTCCACAAGGACGCCGCCATCTTAAAATATCGTCACTTCCAGTATGGGCGAAAACATAGTTTTGCCGTCGCCACGCCAATAGAATGCATTTAGGAGATAAGCGTAACCCTCACCCATTCCCGTTTGTCTCCCCTCTATTTTTTTACTATTTGCAGGTTGAAACGTTCTAATATTTATTCGTCGCCCGTACTGTCTACTTGGCGATCGGGGGCGAGAGTAAGCGGAAAAGGTCTATACTAAGCTCCGCCTCCTCGGGCCGGGGGAGGGGGGGGTCGTCACGGATGTAAACATTTCGGCGTCGGCAATGGCGGACTGTAGCCGTAAGTCCTTCGCGCGATTGCTTGTTAAAAATAGAAAGAGAGAAAACAACGTTTCACTTCTGTCCTGTGTGATTTCGAGGTCTGCTCCGATCAGGCGCTGTCCAAGGGGCAGTGTTACCAGGGGAAATAAAAACGTGCTGAGTCTTCGGATGTGGTGGGCGCATTGACGACGGTGCGTTGCACTTTACATTTCTGGGAGGATTGACAGATTGAGAGCGCTTTCTTGATTCGGTGGATGGTGGTGCATGTCCGTTCTTAGTTGGTGGAGCGATTTGTCTGGTTAATTCCGGTAACGAACGAGACTCTAGTCTATTAAATAGGTGCATGGTTCTCTGCACCTTGCACCCTCCTCAGAGGGACAAGCGGCTTCTAACCGCACGAAACAGAGCAATAACAGGTCTGTGATGCCCTTAGATGTTCGGGGCCTGCACGCACGCTACACTGAAGGAAGCAGCGTATTTTTATTCCTGTCTGTTAAGACAGTAAGCTTAGAAAAAAGTGGCTTGAGCAAATAATTGAAGTCCATCGGATTAGCCCCGAGCAAGTGTTCGTCTGTATAAATATCAGGGCACAGGAAAATAAGTTTCCATAAAATTTCGCCAAAAATAAAAACAATAATTACTCGTTGGTGTCAACGAGTTTACGACATAACTTCCGCGATACGCTCGACGCCGCACACGAAAGAGGGAACTTGCGGACGCTAACCCCCCGCGTTCTGGGCAGTTCGCAAAGAAACCTCGGCGTGTCGGCCACTTCGCCTGTGAATCCTTTGGCTTCGCTCCTTGATACGTGTCTGCTAGAATTGTTAGACAAAAACACATCGTACCGCTCGAGTTATTTCATCTGTCCTCCCTGAAAGGCAAAGTCGACCTCGCTCGTGAAGGTAAGACAGCTGTTGAATAGCAGGTGACGCTGCAAAGGAGCAGACGAAGCTCAGATAGGGGGTCTTGGCGACCCCCTATCTTTCCGCTCGAGCCAATCAGAGCTTGGCGTTCTGACGTTATCGCAACCCCTCCGCAAGAAGCAGACGAACTTGCCCTCCGCATAGGATTCAGCTGTTGTTGTCTTTGCAGCGATTGGACACGAGCCCCTACCTGAATGCTTGTCGAGCCATTGATTATCACGAGCCCAAATTGAGTAATCGCTCAATGCTCGGGTCCAATCTATGAGACACCTATTCAAATATTGTCATTCGGGGGACTATGCCACATTGCGAACTCCGTGCTACGTTATTAAACATTGTGATGGAGTTGATTGAAAGAAAACATTGGCTTTTATACCTAAAAACACACAACAATAAGCAAGTTTCTTGTTGGTGACGCTGCGTGGGCGTATAGTTCGGTCCCACTAAGCTCGTGCCAAGTGAAAAACATTCCAGCTGAATATCGTTGCATCGTCCCTTTAAGAATGCGTCAGAAGTAACGACACCCAATGGGGAAACACTGAACTGAACAGGTCTTTCACAACTTATGCTCGTCCCTTTTGGCTTTCGTGATAAGATGTCGCCGGTTTGCGCGATGGAACAGTTCTCCCTGTGACTCTGTTACCGTTGTATCAGCGTATTGCCCAGGTCATTCTGGGAGCAACCTACGCTACCGCGTAATTCGGACATTGTGCGCTTATCGACGTTCATCAGCACCGCAGTCCTTCCATCACCTCCTCGAAGAAGGCTATGCCTTTGGACGCTCGCTTAAGCCAAAATATCGCCAGAGGTTTGAAACGTATATAGGAATAAACAATGGGGTAAACCGCTTCGAGTCTAATGCTCAATACGTGCTGAAACCTGAGCGTCGTGCGTTGAGCTGACACGTGGCACGGCACGACCTGACTAAACGTATTTGCCCGATAGTGGCGACCTTTATAGTTAGCTGAAGTTGCGAATGCATTCACCACTGCCAGCCATTGTTCCTTCCCAATGCTCAAGTATTTAAATATCAAACATACGACCAGTGTAAAACGTTCAGGTTTTCCTACTCATAATAATCCAAGCCCCATATTTTTTTTATTCAGTTTGTTCCTGAATTTAATCGAGCTGTACACTAATATAATATAAGTGTCAATGATTTTAATCCAAGTTGTCAACAATTTCATCCCAACTTCATTCATTTTAATTCAAGAGTCACATAATTCAAACCGTCCATATCTGCGCGTTTTTGCTATGACTACTAACTGATACGTCATAACAGTTTTGATAGTCTAGGTTTCTTGCAAGTCATGAATAACATTTCACTGTATGCGCGCGTTGAGTGACTGGTTCTCTCGTGAATTTTGAGGAATTTCTCAGACCATAATACGTAAGCTCGAGACAGAATGATGGGGATATTTTGTCGGTTTTAGAATAGTAACAAAAATGTTTCAAGAGGCTTGACAGTAATACCATCTTTGAAAAAAATTTGTATTTTAATTTTGTGTATGCATTCAATGGCATGAACAATGGCAGGAAGCGGATAAAGAGGATTGAAGCGGTTCGACGATTTGCACGCAAGTCACCCGCATTTGTGAACGCTTTCGGCAATGAGTATGTCTAATGCAAGGCGTAGAGGTGGTCCTCAGAAAGATCGAAACCTGACTAAACAATCTTACCAAAATATATATCCAATCAAGATCGGGCGCGGTTGCCTGACTGCTGACGACGAAGCGGTAAAATCAAGCAACTTGCTGAAACATTGAGAAATAGCGTGAAAACTGCTTGGTCAATTTCGAAGACTGACATATGACAGAGATGAACCGAAATCCAGGGATGGGGGGGAGAGGGGGGGGGGGGGGGGGGGGGGGGGGGGGCTCAAAGGATACCTTAAACTCGGAAGCTGTGCAGGATCTGGCAGCTATGCTGGATAAACACCCGAAGCTTCACGCTGATGCAACTCAAAAAAGAGCAAGAACAACTGGACAAGGTATGCAAATCAGCTCATCTGCAATTGACAGACTTTTGTATGGACACGGCTACACAACAAAGCAACTTTTACTGCCGCCCATTAACAAAAATCACGATGACGTAAAAAGTGCAAGAAGAATACGCTTCTCGGCTGCAG